TTTAAGAAACTTTCGGAAACAATGATTACGAGGGTTTTCGTATTAAATTCAAATTTTGTTTCAAAGCACTTTTATAAATTAAAATAATTTTATTTGTAATTTTTTGGCGAGCTGTTGAAGGTCCACGTGCTCTTACAAAGTCCGTTTAAATGTCTATGGTAATTTATTGCATCATTCATGTTATTATTATTCATGTAAAAAAAAAAATAAAAATTTGAAAATATATAAATTTCTGCATTAAATTTGCAACACAATTAAAAATTTGAATTTTTTTTTTTTTTTTTTTGGTTATAGTTAACAATAGATTTACGGAATCGGTGTGACAATCGCAAATATGAAGATAGGAAACTGAAATTGGACACAAACATTCCTTGATCGATCAGGAATATACAATATTGAAAAATAAATGCGATCTGTTTGCGGACACGCCCGCAAAGCAGATAGATATTTTCTGATCTAGCCTATCTGATCTAGATATGTAATGGTATCCCTTTCATATTCTGCGCATTATGGACGTGTTTCTGAATAAAACCCATCAATTTTTTCGGCCTTGCTTTCTCAATCAATTAGGGAAGACTTGTGCGAAGTTTCTTCTTCCCGCGTTCATTTTTGTGTCTGGGTGCGAATCACAAAATTTACCCTTCGATTTGACGACCTTTCGTGGTAAATGAGCATACAACAACACATTTGCATCAAAAGAGCAAAACTGGTCGTGTTCAAGGAGAAAAGACTAGGCATACGTATATATGCTGCATTATATATTCAAAAATCTTTATATAGTATCAGCCCTCCTTAAGCTGAACTTTTACAATCTATAACTCATTAAATCGACGAGTACCGTAAATTTGCTGGTCATGAAAAATCTGTTAGATTTTACAGACTTTAAATGAGTTGAAGGTTCAAGCATGAAAAAGAGATTTAGAAACGAAAAAAAATCATCCAGCATCGGAAAGAGGAGACAGTTTTTAAGACTAAATATCATAATTGTATCCCCAAAGAGTCGGTTATGAAATCTCCTGTTGATTTTCCGCCAAAGAATCGAATCAAGTTGGGTGCATGAATGCCGTGACGGTTTTTTTTTTTTTTTTTGTTTTAATTAGATTTGTTTAATATTCAAATAGAGATTTCTAAGCGATCAAAATTAATTGATTAGCTATGTCAATCAAATTCTGCTTGAAAGTAAAAAACATGCGAATAGCAACAGAGAGCAGAGAAAATTAGCTAAAGTTTAATAAAAAAACACCATAGCAAGCCAAGGGCTACCGTAAAATATTCTAAACCATTTTACAGTTATTTCAATAGCGAGTTCTGAAAATAAGGCCGATTCAAATCATTTTCAAGAGCGTTTGTCTTTGAGTCAAAACATATCGGTGTAGCAAGGCGGCAAATAGGTACAAGGAACAAAGGTAATTAAGGCAGGCAGATTGGCAGACGGACGGATCAAATATCCTAGACTATTCCACAGTTATTTAAAGAACTCTTTAAAAAAAAAACGTTTTATATGAAAAATGATCTAAAAAGTAGCCCGATCCGAAACATTTTCAATAGCGTTGTGATGACCAAATCACGTAATTGTATCAAATTTCATGAAAATATCTCGACAATTGCGGCCGGTAAGTTGAACGAAAGAAAATAAGATGGCTGAAAGTGCAGACGGACAGACAAGCTTAAATCGATTCGGAACGTGATGTAGAAAGTAATGCTGTTTCGATCAGCATAATAAAAGGTAGGCCAATCTCAAATCCTTCTGATTGTTGTATACTTTCGCACGAACTTAATGTACGCCAATACCGCAAATGGTGTAGGGTATAAAAAGAGGATATAATAAGGCAAAGAGATATTATCATGCATAGTACTCAAAAGGTATTGAGCTTTCTAAAACAAAAAAAAAAAAAAAATAGCTTGAAATTTCACGCATCGAGTATCGTATAAGCAAATATTGGCGATTAGACCAAGTAGGTGAAACAACTTGGTTGACTCGTTTCTTTCTTCATTGCTAATATCAAATTTAGGCTTAAATTCTTGGTTTTTAGTCACGATTCGGGTTTGTAATCAGCAACGAATTTAAAAAATATAAAGCTGCTCCTTAGAGTTCTTTGCAAATACATTTCAATTGTCTCTTCTGTTTCCTTTGCAGAAGGGTTGGTTTTGTCACACCCTATACAGTACTCGCAATATAAATGCTATTCACTAAACAATTTTCAATCAACTCTGTACAGAAATGAAGTTTTGTCTAGCAGTGTGAAGGGTGTCAAGTTTTTCCTGTACTGATAAAAACAACGATAAACGTACGTATATTATTATAAGAGAAAGAGCGAAGAAAAAAGGGGAAGCTATATAGAAAAACTATTGCCCTAGCATCTTGTTTTTATTGATATAAAATCAGAATATTCCTTACATTACTTTAACATATTGTTGCTTTTAGACTAAATATCTCATATGCTTGACGAAAGTGAAATGAAGTTAGAAAATACTACGCGAGCTTGGTTGTATTTTTGTTATTCGAATCTGTCATAGAGAGCAACGAGAACACACCTAAAATAGTAGGCAAGGAGAATTTTATTAAATTCGATTTTTATAGGATCGAAGTAATGTAAAGACGGCGGAACTTGTTATATTTACTTTTGTAAATAAGTGAACAATGCGGAAATCTCTTGACTAATTGCATTTGTATGGGAATTATTTTCTATGCAATTTTTAGATTGATATCTAGCAATACGACGAAGATTATGTGCCTTTGTTGTTTTTTTTTCGGAACCTCTCCCAACTTTGATTAATTTGCAAGGACAATTATATGATATGATTGATAATAGCTGATAATGTGGAAATGTCCGAAATCACTGATATATCATTAGCGCCATTAGTGCTAAGCCTTAGTTGTCATTATTCGTATGAAGGTTCGGTTCTTAATGACCCGACAAACAACAGACATATCTGCAACGCGTGCCTGTGACTCTGATAAGCGGTACGACGAATTTCGTAAATCTTTATTTCTTTTCCGGTTCTGCATACAGGAATTTAACTGCCAACAATTGAGCTCTGTCCTTCAGCTCATACGTCCATGTACTTGGCCGTTTCAAATGTAGTTTCGATGGTCTCAAACCTTGGTTCTTAGCAATCCTATTTGTAGAGCCGGTAGCATATAACGAACAATCAGGTAGGTAGATTATAGAGTGTATAAATTTAGCGTAATCTCTAGTGCGTATCTCGGGAAGTCCACTATCCATAACGAATTAGAACTGAAAATTACAGCATTTTGCAGCAATTTTGCTTATGGGCGAATTAGAAGCCATGTTGTAATTCAAACTTGTCTAACGATCTCGTTTAAGAAAGAGGTTAAAATATAATATTACCAATCTTTTTAACAAAATTTTGAATCATTTGCCAATTTTCAATACTTGTAAGTAGTAAAAATAATGTTTTCAGGTTAAAATAGATATACTCTTCTTGTTCCATAAATTTTCTCGGCGAACTTTTCCATTAGCTAAGTGATAGGTGTCTTAAAATGTATATTACAAGTCTCAATCCGTACAAATATGATTTAAATCAATCAAAAAAAAAAAAGTAAAAAGTATTAATTCATATCATTTGAGAGGTCAATACTTTTTAGTATATTCAGACTTAATTATAATATTTATGTGAAAAGTCTGAAAAAGAAAAGCATTGGAAAAGCGAAATGTAATTTGAAAAACATAAAGCGTTTTTGGTTTGTTTTGTCCATATTGTACGCAAAGAGATACAAAGAGAAAAAAAAAAAAAAAAAAAAAGAAAATATAAATAAACAAAAATCGCAGGTAGTTGCATACTCGCTTAACTGCTCTTATATATGTATGTACCAATATATATATGTATGTACCAATATACATATGCAGTGCCATCTAAAATAATAAAAAAAAACTCTGCTGAGCCTTAGTAAGTAACGATGTTAATGATGATTTTGCTTTTTTGTTATTTATTGTGTCGAAATTTATCTATATATATAAATATGTATGCGCGTATGTATGTGTATGTATGTATGTATGTATGTATGTGAGTATCTATATATGCATCTATGGATGTATGTATGTATGTGTATATATGCATGTATGTATGTGAGTGTGTATGCACATATATTTTTTCGCGGGAAATATTGGTAAAACTGTTTTACCGACTTCAATTTGTCAATAACTTATTAGAGAGCAAGCAAGCATAAACTTAGTAAAATATATATGTATGAGCATTAAAGAACAACAAAAATACATATATACATTTATCTATGTATAAAAAATAAATGAATAAATAATACATTACATATATATATGTAAGTAAATTTGTGTGCCTAAGTGCGTCTATCATGTAAACTTACAATATAAATAAGTATATGTATGTAAACAGACATATATCTCTCAAAATACTACAACTATAAATACATTATATACGTATAAGTATTGGTTGTATCGTGTCTGTCATCATCATCATCCATTCAATTTAGTTGTGTGGAGAGCTAAGAAAAAGACCCAGCTACTCAGCCTACATTTTCAGTTCATTTTCAACGTTACTCGTGAACGGTTCTCAATCTTGACTAGTGCGCTTTATATATATATATATATATCTATATATAAGCAGAAATAACGTCAGTGTTTAAGGAAAACCAAAAAGAAAAAAAAAAATTGAAAAAGTGTATAAAATAAAACTCAACAGAAGGAAATCTTTCTCTTTTATCAAACAGTCAAATTTTTAAGCATATGTTTGAAGAAAAAGATACAAAAATTTGTGTAAATAAATCATATTAAAATTAAAATAAAATATTATTTAAAAAAAAATAAAAAAATAAAAACAAGAAGAAGAAGTATAGATACATTGTTCTATTTCTTTTTGATTTTGTGATTTGTAGTTTAAAAATATTTCGACTTTAAAAAGCAGAGATATTATTTTTTAATTCGGCTCCGGTAGTCGAGATTAATTTTGTGATCTTTTTTTTTTTCTGATCAAGTTAATTTCTTTTATTTTATTTTTCTTTTTTTTGTAAATAGTTCTCTAAGGTGAGTTTAATTAATGGTTTTTTTTTTTTTTTTTTTTTTTTTTTTTTTTTAATTCAATAAAATACTGAATATATCGTTTAATTTTTGCGACCACATACGCATCTAGAGACAGATTTGGTGGACAGATTTGAAATATTAGAAAAAAAAAATAAAAGTAAAAAGACGAAGAAAGGAAAAATAGTGTCCTCTAAATCGAAATAAATAAATTAGAAAATTATATTCGTGTCGGATCGAAATTCGGATATTCATTAGAATTGCAAAATATTTTTTTTAATGGCGATCATATCCGTCGACTTGGCGGCAGCGTTACGGAGTTTAGAGTTTAAAAATAAATTCGTGCCATTTGAGGCATACCTCCAGAGATTAAAAGGTTTAGGAAAATAGAAATCTTATACTCGCCTTAAGTCCGTCTATTCACTTCAAGTATTTATGCATATAGTATATATATGGGTAGTATTAGATCGCCAAAATTGTTTTTGTATTAAACTTTCTGGAATATCGTCAAAAATATTTTTAAATTATCGTTCGTTCAAAAGAGTTCTGTAAGTTTTTCGTTGGATCTTCGACAATATGTGAATGAATTATGTACTGATACGCGGGCATGGTCTAATCCAGTTTTTGGACGATTGAAATTGTTTTAAAAGCGGCCGTTCTTCGATATCTGTAATATTGTTACAGATATTTTGAAATAGTCGTCCTTGAAAATAAGTTCTACAACTTATTTGTAAATGGAGATATGCGATTGGGTGAGACCTATGTTATCACATTATATCAATCAAACAAAATATCAATCTTTCGAATTGCGAGCGTCCGCAATAGACGATGGCCGTAATGACAGACCGATATGACCGAATCAAGTTTTTGTTCAAACATTTATGCAGATGCGTACGTTACACTCAACAATGTGTAGATTTCATGTGTGCTTTCATAATAGACATACGTGGGAAAGTGGTTTTAGAAATACTTCAGGCGGCAGAAATTAAAGAGTTTTTCGAATCTATAAATAGGGAGAAATAAAAATTAAAAATGCTATCTATATAGCTCGCTAGGTGTAAAAAAAAGAAGAATATAATGATTCTCAAATTATTTATTTGAGATGGAAACTTCAAAATATGAATGAATGAATCATCGCACTGTTAAAATTAATCACACTTTAAATGAATGAGTTATTTTCATTTATTTGCAAAAAAAAAAAAAAAAATGCGAAAGGGAAGTGCGTTACACACACAGTTGCTATGATACGTCCACCATCGCCATCAAACAATGTGATAATTAAAGATTTATTTTCTCATTCTCGGCATTCGCTTCGAATCGCTATCGACTATCAAGTCTGTGTTTGCAGGTTCAAATCTCGATGCGGTAAACTTTATACTTTGGTCGCAGTTATAATGTATGCTTAGGCGGCAAAAGCATAATACTTACTTTACCGATTGAGTAAGCACCCACTAGATTGCATCTGCTTCGCTATCTCTTGCTCTTTCCTCATTTCTTTCTGACCGTCACCGTATTATACGAATAAGGGATCGAACCCTATTCCAAACCAAGTTAAAAATCGTCCCAGTCGGCTTATTGAAACAAGCGAATTTAGAGAGAGAGGGATAGTAGGTACCAAAGGTCCCCCCCTAACATGAGTAGAATTTCCATATTGTTTTCCTTCTCTTTTTGAGAGCCTTGTTCGATATGGTGGCAGATGTAGTTAGTAAAACTTTGGAATGAATTTCATTTCTTTCGTAACATGCGGAGTAAGTAACAGGAAACTGACATTGATTATATCCATATCATAGACAACGTCATGTAAATCCTATATTTGATTTATATCTTTAGATCATATCAAGATCATATTATTAAATGATCTCTTAAAGGGATATACCAATCTTGGAGAATAAATAGCAGGACAGCAACTTTTAATGTAGCTCAGTTTCTTAAACTTACGTAATCTAAATCTGATTTATATCTTTAGATATATACACAAAATCATGATCATTAAAAGATATTTTACAACGATACAACAGTGATGTTGTGATAGCGTTCGCAACAACAACTTAAACATATTCGATTGGTGGTGTCTATACCACCGCTATTGTCCCAGTCCCAGGAATTGAGAAAAGAACTGCAAAGTTGCTATATATATTATATATTTCGATCAAGTTAAAAAGTCGCTTAGAAACTTTTCACAATGCAGCTGTAATAGTTAAAAAAATGTTCTAAACTCGATAAACGGTTTGTTAATGACTTGAGAAATTTGGCATGCATCGACAACTATATTTTTATACCCATCATCGACGGACGAGGGATATATTCATTTTGTCAAAACGTTTGCAACAACCAGGAGCAATGATCAGTGACTGCACAAAGTACAAACATTTGTAAGCTGCATTAAATTGGCAAGAAACATTGGAAGTTCTTGCATGCAGATTGATATTGAAGTCATTCGAAGGATATGCCTATAGTGCAGCACATTCTTTCGTTCTCTTACTCACAAACTGCAGCAGACAAATATAAAAAAACTTCAATTCGCATTCTATAAGCATTGCTATAGTACCTATACAAAAATGGAACAAACTCGGCCACGCCTAGTGTCATCATAATATCATTTCTTTTCCAAAATGCACAGAGCCAAGGTTCAAAAACCCCATAAAGTATATAAATACTTGACCAGTTTCAAACTCGTAATGCAGTTGAGCATGTACGTTCTGCTTTAAGTCTTTTATCCGCTAAAGTTCGCTTAGGACTGAATTTCATCCATCTGCTGACAAGACTTCACCTAACGAAAATTGACTTTTTATTGTGTTCAAGGTAGTGCGCCCCAATAGTAATGTACCATCTTTTTCCTTCTATTTATTACTAAAACTTGTTAAGCTTGCTAAAGTTTGATTAGCGAGCATTTGAAACAAACAATTCGATAAACGTTTTTGTCCAAGTGACACGTCTAGTGTCTAGCCATAAATGAATTTATTTTTTTTTTTGTTAATGATGTCGTAATATGCGAAAACATGCGAATGGGTGTAAAATTCAATTGGAAACAATTATAAATATATGCTCGTATTAAGGGACTCAAATACGGCAACTAAGACTGAGCTGCGTTTTGAGCTAGAGTTTGGTAAATAATTCTTAAGATGCTCTGTTTGATAATTGATCAATTTGAACTTAATCTTACTTGTGTCTATTGTAAGCACAGCACAAAGCCTTATGCAGCTTCTCTGAAAAATTTCTGATTCAAGCTTGCTAAACTTTTCTCAAATCTTGACGAATTGTAGTTATATATATATATACATAGTAAGAAGTAAGGACATTGTATTCGGCTTGCATTGAGTTCTTTGTATCTATATCATCGTTATCCTAAAAAAGGCAAATAAGTAAAAGAACCACATTTTCATGCCCTGTAATAATAATTTTTTCCATTTTGAAAATAAAAGTGTTTGTCGCACATGGCGCACAGGCATGTCCTTGGAAAAGTTTAAGCCACTTCCGAATTCTTTTGCAAATTTTGTAGACCACATCTCTAGTCTTTCCAACGGGATAATGTCAACCACAAATGCCATACAGTTGCGCAGACATGCAGATGGACATGTTTAGATGCATTCCAAATTTGAAATTGGTCAAGAATTTATTTACTTCATGGGGTTTGGAAGGTTGTTCATGCGCCTTATAAAGTTATTGAAAGGAAACTAAACTTTAATGCACTATAACATTGGATAGGCCTCGTCCTCATTTTTGTACAACATCGTCCATACAATATGCATTCAAATTTTTGTACGTTTATATGCTATAGTTTATGAGTAATGAACGGAAAAAACAATTTTTTATCACTTACAAAGGACACTTTTATTTTGCAAATAGAAAAAATCAGCCGCGCCCACTTCATATTATAGAGCATAAAAATTTGATTTTTTCACTTTTTTTGTCTGTCTTAGGATAACGTTGATGGGTATAGCAGATCAAGTCACAATCGAGTATTATTTTCTTACTTGCTTCTTAATCCCTTTTATGATAAGTGCGATGGGTATACAGGATTCGTTCGTAACTGAATATAAAACTGTCACTTGTTAAAATATGTCGATGAAATTTAACATAGGGAAAGTAGTTCGGATCGGATCATTTTTTCCACCTCTTGCCATAAAACGGCCTACTTTGAAAAGTCGATTCAACTATTGCTTGGCCTTTCGCAAATATTCTGCCTGAATGATCTATGATTTCATGGTAACATTTTTGTGCTAATCCCTTTGTCCAACTGCATGGGCTGCCTTACCTTATGACTTTGATAGGTAAAAAATCGTAAATTTGTATTTCGCTTTTCCAATTAACTATTGTAGAAAAATGGGAAGTTTTCATGTGATTTTGGTTAACAGTGTTACATACACTAGGTGGTGTTCGATTGCAAACATTTCGCATCGCCTATGATGGGTTTAAAAAACAGCAGAACGTTGAGATAGCAAATTATCGATATATCGCACGTATACCTATATTAAAATAGACAAATAACTGAGAAAGAAACAAAAAGAAGAATTTTGGTTTATTTAAAAAAAAAAATTATGAATTCCTGTTGAAATTCAGCGACAATGTACGAAATGCTTGTTCTTGCTTTATACTTATTGATAACCTTTTAAAAAGTAATTTTTTATTTATTTATTTTTTTTTTTTTTTTGTTATATAAAAGAAAGATGTACGTACATAAATATATGAGCGCGTGTGTTCGTGTTAAGAGACTTAAAGATTCAAAGACCAAAAAAAAAAAATTGTTGTCTACCTAAATAAATGCCAATAACCTAATAAAAAATTTAATGAAAAGTAAAATTAGTTAGAATTCAAGGATAGAATAAGTAAGAAATTTATATTTGCCGGGGGAGTGCTATTGACTTTTTTGTTTTGGTAATTAATAAGATTGAATCCTCTTTTAGAGTTTATCATGGTTTTTTTTTAATTTGATATTATGAAGAAATTCTGCCAATGTCTTATGTTAATTTTTATTCAAGAATATT